CAGGGTGGTGCTTACACCAGGGTAAGCTTCTGGTATCAAGGGCCGAGTAGGTAGGCATCGGCACCCAGCACATCCTAGGGTAGGCTACACGTACTAGCTCTAGGCGGTGGAGGCGCTGTAGCTCCCGCCCTGGCCACGCCCTAGGGTAGGCGGTGGGTACTACGCGATGGGGGACGGGGCGGTCGCGTACGGGCTGTCAGTGCCCTGAAGACGCTGTACGGCCGGGCCGAGGCGTAGAGCCTGTAGCCGCAGCGCAGTCACAGCCTAGATACCCTGTAGCCACAGGGCAGTCGCAGCCTAGGACGCCCAAGACGGGGCGCCAACCCCTCCCGCCAACGCACTTAGCATGCTAGACCCCCCGCTAGCACACCACAGCGCCGGATTATTTTGTCGGGCCGGCTACGGGGCACCTCCCAGGCTACGGAGCCTGGGGAAGACCCCTATTTAATTTGTCGGGGCTGTGTTGCCACGATTTAGCTTGGAGGTTAGGAGATCGAGGTTCGTCTGATTAACCTTGACTCGACTTCAGATCTGAAAACATTTATGACTTTAGTCCGTCGGACTTCGCCGGTGGATCTTGTTTTATACTAGCGTAGCTTTTAGCGCTGAGTCCAGTGCTGTGCTCCGATTTCAGATGTGTCCACTGGAGCGGGCGCTATAAATTTATTTCGGGGGCGCGCGGCTAAGGAATGATAGATCTGGGCCCGTCATGACGCTAGCATAAAACCAAAAGTTTGTGAGGGTCGATCAAGACATGGCGGATCATATGGGTTAGACCGATTTGGTCTAGCGCGGAGTGACCTTGCATATCGCCGGTGCCAAGCCGATTCAAACCTGATTCCTGCCCCAGGCGGGCTGCTGACTCAGCCACTTATAGTGGATTGTTTGTCTTGTGCTAGCGGGCTCTCATATGCCGCCGCTCCGGGGTCGCCAGCGTGCCCACAGCCCGAGATTATGCCAATGGGGGCGGTCTACAGCCCGAAACAGGCTCACCAGCGGCCACCTACAGGGCACACGAAGCCTGGGGAGCCTGGAGCCGTAGCCCGGGAAGCCACAGTCACAGGGCACCCGAAGCCTGGACAGCCTGGAACGCATGCCCCGTGGCCGCGGCCGAGTTTATTGGTCGGGCACGTGACCGACCCCCCCCCACAGGCGGGGGACCCTCGGGAGCTCCCGTACAAAACCTCACCTCAGGCCCCCCCCCCCCTGAAGCCGAAGCCTAAATGCGCTGTGGCCGCGGAAGGGTCCAAATTTGAAGTAGCCAGGTGCGCGACAAATCACGACCTTTCTTTTGGTGTGAGGGGGGGGGTCAATAGCGATTTGCATACAAATTTATTTGTCGGAAAAATATTTATTTGTCGGGAACCATTGTGACCGACTTGGGTACAGAGAAGGGGTCGGTGGGTATATGAAAGAGGTGACTCGAGTCCAAAAAAAAAAAGAGTTAATAGTGTAATCCAGCGCTTATAGCGGGCGGGTTCACTAAAGACGGGATTACTTTTGGATGGTGACGGTTACTTCTTTCGCCTTATAGGCGCTTCATAGCCTGGGTAAAAGAGCGGGGGCCTTCCGATAGGGTGTTTATTCACCTGTGACGAAGCCTGCGGGAATAGCCTAGGTTATTTGTAGCGATTATAGGGCTTGTTAAAGCCTAGGTGGGATTAGTTACAGCGTGGAAGGTCGCCTGGAAGCGCTGTAATAAAAGAACCCGGGTGGAAGCTAGCGTGTGCCCACGTTAAAGGGCCAGGCTATGAAAGCCTGTGGAGAGTAGGTCGTCTCGCGACTCCTGCGCACCACCAAATTCACTTGTACCATAGTTGCATGATCCCCGACCCATTCCTAGTCTCTGAAGGTGCTTCGGGCCCGCATCACTAGGACAGGCGGGGGTTTAGTCGCCTGCGAGCGTGTA